TTTTTTCTCGAAAAGTTATCAAATCGACAACCGTTTTATAAAAATTCTGAAGTGGACTAACGATTTTGATCCAAAAGCTGAATCCCCTATCATTCCTGTTTGGATAAAGTTTCTGGGGTTAAAATTACATCTGTTCAACTTGGAAATTCTCTACTGCTTAGCAACTGCTTACAGTAAGTCTCTCAAGATTGATAGTCCTATGTTTGTTGTCACCAGACCCTCAATGGCTTGTGTGTTAGTTGAGAGAGATATTACTCAACTAACTCCGGATGAGGTATGGATTGACACCCCTCACAACGGGTATTGGCAAAAGATTGAAATAGAACCACACCCTCCTTATTGCTCTCATTGTAGTATGTTTGGCGGCTTGCATCCTCATCTAAGGTCGAATATCGCTAAAGATCAGTCATCAACCATCCATGTTGAGAAGGTACAACCTGATCCTCTTTCCAACACCGCAGTTCCTAATGAAGAACACCATACTACAGGTACAGATCCAAATGTGCTTATATCACTCATTGTTATTGAAGAAAGAACTCATTGTTATTGAAGAAGACTCACTTACATGCCAAGACACATGAGAGTGCTCATTCGATCCAATAAAAGATCAACTGGTACAACAAGTAGTTGCTTTTAATGTTCAACAACCTACACATATCCGGCGCACTTTAGACCAATCTATTGATCATGTGAGTCAAGCTTAGGATGAGGAATGACAGGTCTATACCAGGAGGAATAAGAAGAATAGAGGCCGACTCGAGCTCGAGAACTTATTATATGATACATTGGTTACTACTAGCAATGGCACTCAACTTACCAATTTATTAACTGGCTCCTTCCCTAGAACTAAAGGCTGAGGCAAGATAAAATTGGGTTGCTCTCTAGCTAACTGATGCTCCATATTTTGGCACTTTTTGCTTTTTTCTTTACGTCTCTCATGTATTTTTCTTTTTTTTTTCTCTTTTTGGAACCTTTTGCATCTGGTGATTATCGTGTAGGCAAGGTGTCATGTTTGGACCCTTCTACACAATCTACATATATCATACTTTATTTTAATATATTAGTCACTGGGCTTTCTCATATATAAATATATAAAGCAATTTTTTGTTTTTTTGTAGAGCACGTGTCGAAAAACTCTAGTTTTTTGCCCCATTATGGATTATGCAAATTCCATGGTTGCATGTGTTCATCATTCCTTTGTTTAGGCCTACTCATTTCCAAATATTCTTTGAATATTACAAGTCATCTTGACATGGACATGTCTATTTCTTTAAAAAAGAGATTGAGATTGGTTCCTCTACAAATGATTATTGGCAAAAGGATATATTTGAGAGCATACCTTCCTACTATTCTTTTTACAAACTTTTTTATCACAATTACTTAGTTTGCTTCAAGGTTCACCCAAAACCAAGAAAATAATCTTTCGTTGATCCCAGTTTTGGGAAAACAGGGAGCATGCAAATGACTAGAGCCTACGAACAAACGTGGTCGGTGCATTTTCCCCTACTCCATATATGTATTGTACTAAAAATTGGAACCAATTTTAAACCTGATTGTGGAATCTGAGTCCTCTTTTTTTTATGTTCCTACCTAAAATACCAAAGTTGTGGTAGAAACTTCTTAAGCAAAAACATCAATCCAAATCCACCAGTATTGTTAATTCGTCATGACCATCCTAATATAAAGGATATGGTAATTCTAAAGTATTAAATCACTGGTATAAATAAAGCTTCAAATCCTATTTATGAAGAAAGACAGATATGGGGAAGAGGTACAAAATCATAACCCATTAATCTGTCAAATGACTTCGGTATTCTTGACTTCTAAGGAATTCATGGACTAGTTCTACTCCCTCGGATACTTTCTATTATGTTATTAAGTTATCTTCAAGTTTGTATTTTGTTTTTCACTTTATCATCTAGCAATTTGTCATAATTGCATAATATTGTACACATTTTCATTGACTAGCAGTAAAATTTACTTTAAAAAACATAACCTCAAACATGATGCAAGCACATTCATGTCAAAAATCTCTCACATCGACATGTTGTCATGTGTATTTGTGTGCTTTCTCTCCATTTCAAATTCAAAATAAAACATTTTACACTCCTATTTCCTCAAAATTAAAAGGCAAACATAAACACATGAAACTCTCAACACATGCAAACATGCACACGTCCAAGTACTTACAGTACACAAACTCACATGCAGACATGTTCAAGTGAATGTACATACAAAAATCAAAATAGATGCCTGCAGTGACATATAAATATTGCATGTGTACCAGACATATATTATATGCCTCCATCCATCCATCATAAATACCCCCGTAAATACATACTCATGTACATATATAATGTCTATGTAATCACTCTTGACAAATCTTCCTTCTAGATGCTTCGAACTGTCATTGCTACATGCACACGCTGCAGTAACTTGAGTTCTATCACATAATTCTTATGTATTTACATATCTAACGCCTAAACTTCAAATTTTATATACATGCCACTTTACCTACACATGAACAGATGAAAATTTTGGATGGTATAAATGTAAAAAAAAAATATAGATGTTAGATATGTAAATACATAGGGATTGGTGATAGATATGTAAAGACATAGGAATTGGGGGGTATTTATGTAAATGTCCCGTATGTTTAACATGAATAAGGATGAAGAAAAATGTTTACTAGCTCTTAAATGTCATGTTATGCCTTCTTTAATGTTGTAGTCAAAATTGATCAAGGGTGCAATATTCTTCAATTTAGCTGAAAAATCAAAAGGCCATGGCATCATCAACAAAACAAGTGCGTCAGTGTGTTATTGATAACTTGTGTTACATCCTAAAAAAATAAAGAATAAGTCCTTTATTCTTACAGAAACCTTTTCCAACCAATTAAAAACATGTGTAATATTATCTCAGTTTCATTCATTTTAAATTTTCCTGTTGTATGAGGAATGTGGGGCCAAAGAGGCTAAGGTGTTCTCTAGTTTCTGCAGGCCATAATCTCCTAACATAAGCTGACAACCCAGATAGTGTTCTCTGCCATGTAAATTAGACTCGATGTAAAATCCACGGAGGGAAATCCATATGGTTGCGTTTAGATACACTAAAAATGATAGATTGCGAACCCATCCATATATCTAGTCATATTTATCTATTGATTACTACTATCCATCCAACAAAAAGTGCTTTCTACAAAAATCTACTGATCTTCTGCATTTCATGTTTGATCATGGCCTCTTTGGATCCCAACTCTTGCAATGACTTTTCTTAGGGTCTTTTTTGACCCTCTAGTGAGATCACCACAATCCTAGGCAGCCCATGATTTTTATAGGCCCCTCATATTGCTTCCCTGGTAGTTGTGCCTCCTCTACCTCAACCTCATCACTCATTTATGAAACATTTGTGGTTCGAATGCTGTTAGCCACTTTCAATCCACCCAACATATCTCCATTTTTTTTTACCAGAATTCACTAACTGAATAAAATAAACAATCTTTATCTTTTAAAAAAAATTCTACTCTCCTCGTACTTATAAGAAAATTATATATGCTTATTAGGCCACTCACCCTCTTTTTGGGAAACTCTTTATGGGTCAAGATAGCATTTAAGTAATTTGCAAGTTCATGTCTGATTTACAGCAAATATGTGACTACTCTATTGAGCTTATCAATTCTCAGCTTCTCACCATAAAGATTTTTTTAGAAGTAAATTACATAAGACTTCTCCCGGGGTTTATATCATATATGTGGCCTCCCAATGCTCAGGTTAAAATTATGACTGTATTTTGATTGCTTTATGGTACCCCCTCACAATTATTTAAATCTTGTTTCTATGACTAATTCAACTGTTCTATTTCTTCTTCTTCACCTCTATTTTTAAAAAGTCTTCACAGATGAATTTTACCAGGCCCTCTATAGCTATATACCTAATAAAATTGAACGTCAAAACCTTTTTTTTCATAAGATATAGATTGGATCTTTATCATATGAATATTGGCAAAAGCTAAAATTTGAAAATATTTCTTCTTACTATGCTTTTCCCATATCTTTCGGCATAAATTCATGCAATATTTCAAGGCTTATCCCGAGCTAAGGAATCCCCAATTTCAAGCATAGGGCATTTCACCCGATGCTCATAATAATATTCTAACCCATTTGATGGAAGATCTACAATCATTAAACCAAGTTTGTTCCCAAACCCCGAAACCAAGATCCAATTCTCTTTTGGAGGCCATGGCTAATGTTCATGTTCCTGGTAGCCTCGTGATGAAGGTCACTTATTCATCTACTGATATTATCCCCAAAAATAATCCGCAAGTTTTTGAAACACCTTAACTTTACACTATTTGTGAATAAAATAAATATTATTTTTTGAAACAGGTTTCCAATTTTGAAAGTAGCATTTCAAGTGGTGACTGTCTCGTAGATAATTATACTAGAAGAGACGATAATCAAAGAAAATCTGCCGCCCCTATCTTTTCTCACTAGGCATCAAGCTAAGAGATCCAAATAGAAAGTCTTTTATGTGATATTGCTCTTTTTCTTTTTTTTTTCTTTTTTTTTCCTATGATATATCTTTGCTATTATCATTTTTATACCCATACAATTATCTGGTTAACATATTTTTTTTTAAGAAAAAATTACTTCTATAAAAACGCTCAACATCACAAGGCCAAAACCCCCTCCCCCCTCCTTTTAAAGAAAAATTCCTTAACTTTCATCAGAAGATACGTAAGCTAAAATTGCTTTGAGGTGTTATCTTCATTTATAGCAAAGCCAACAACAGCAATGGCAAAGAAAGTATAAAAAATAGACATATAAAACTAGACATTCTTAGGTACATTTGAAAATAGAGGGACAGGTTGAGACTTCACCAAGCATGTAGAAACAATTGTTTATTGATTAAAAACCATGAATTCCAGCACATTGCATCATGGTCAATAAGTATATTAACATCAAAACTAAAATTTAATATTGGCCTTCAACATTTCAGTACCTTAGGAATTGATCTTGATGCTATAATCTCACCAATGCCAGACAAAATCTATAAATTAAGAATGCAATTAAAAAAATAAAAAAATAACAAAAAAAAAAGAAAACGCTTGCTGAAGAAAATGATCCATTATTTCCGAAGGATGAAACTTTTAACAAAGCTGGAGAATAACATATAAGCTAAAATCTGCATAAAATTAAAAGCTTTATAAACTAAGACAAAACTTCGACACCAACAAGAAGAATCAGATCCAGCCTAGTCCAAGCAAATAACACTAGTAGGATCATGCCAATTGAAAAACAATAAATGTGGCTGATTGAAGTAGCCAAAATGCGGCGCCAGTTTCAAAGACATTAGGCAGTCATTATCCAACTTTGAAGAAGAAAAAATGAACCCATGAAAAGTTTATCTAAAACTAAACAGAAAGGCAGATGATGTTGATAAATCCAGATACAGAAACTTGAAGGTACCCATTATCACTCTTAGAAAAAATTAGATATTAATAAATGAAAAGTAGTTGTGTTACAAACTAAACTACCGACACTATTGCACCATGTTTTCAACTTGAATATAATTTAAAAAATTTAAGTTTGAACTAGAAATGTACAAACACTTGGGCAGCAAGTACAACATATATTTAAAATATCATCATTAAAAGTACCATTCTCCTATTTATTAAAGTTAGCTACATCAATCATCCTCCATTCATTCATGATGACTATTATATGAGGTGTTAACTTTATTTTCCACATAGTTATGCACAACTTCAAGTCATCTTTCCTTTGTCTATTAATTTCTTTCCTAATCCTTCCATATTAGCTATGCTTATTTGCCTTGAAAGTGTATCTTCAGCCCTTAATTGTAAATGACCAAATCACCAATTTTTTCCACGAGCTTTTCTTCAATTGGCCTCCCACTATTCCACTAATAAAACAGCCTCCTTCAATCCTCTTTTGTTTTACAAAACAATCATTAACATTATCATGTTTTCCACACTAAACTTACCTAAATGAAACTTTCTCTAGCACTTTGAATTCATAAAGCATAGACAATCTTATAGTTTCACAAAATTTAACTTCAATCCACAAGATATTTGTTTATAGTTTTAACACTCACAAAGCATTTTATTTTATTCAAGTAGCTTTCACTCTAAGAATTATGTCCGCATCTTTATCCTTATTTTTTCTTTAATAAATCCAACATACTTAAGTCTAAAATATAAGAATACAACAACAACAAACCTTTATCCCACTAAGTGGTGACAGCTACATAAATCATTTTTCTCCATTGTGTCCTATTGAGTGTCATATTTTAATTTAATTCTAATAAATTAAGATCATTTTTATACTCTATGCCGAAGTATTTTTAGCTCTCTCTACCTTTCATAACATAAGTCAAATTTTAAACATCTACTCTCCTAATAGGGTCATCGATGGTCGACCCTTAATATGATCAAACTATCTAAGGTGACTCTCTCTAATCTTGTTTGCCACTGGAGCTACACGTTTCATATATATATTTGTTTCGCATTTTGTCTCTAAGTGTAAAATCACTCATCCACCTGAGCATTCTCTCTCAACAACACTTAGTTTTTATGTTTTTCTTTTACAGACCAACATTATGGTCATAAAGCATTGAAAGTCTCACCACCATCTTATAAGGTTTTCCAATCTAAGGGGTACTTTCCTGTCACACAAGAAGCATGCTCTATTTCTCCACCTCAACCATCGAACTTAAATTCTACTAATATCATCTCCATCTATATTACAATCACTATGAACATTAGACCTGAGATATCTAAAACGTTCACTCCTTTTAATGACTTAATCACCCATTGTTACAACCTCGCCACTATCTACTACTAAAATCACATTCCATGTATTCAATTTTAGATCAACTCAAACGAAAATCTATAGTTTCAAAAGTTGACCTCCATAAATCAAGTTTTTTTTTTTTTTTTTTCTGAATTCTCTCTCTCTAGTCTTAATTACAAAAAATTTTCATATGCTTAAACACCCCCTCACTTTAGAGGATATCATTAATGGTCTCTTAAGTTGTTAGAAAATCAGAGAAAGGTAGAGGACCCAAGACTTTGATAAATATGCTAACTACTTATTTTGAATTGGATACATGAGAGAGATAATCTTCTTAAAAAGTATAGCAAATCTAATGAAATGATAATTGATCTTAATAAACATAGATTATTTTGTTGAATACAAGAATGTTAGCAATGTAGATGACAACATGGTTGAGTAACTAAAAAGCCAAACTCCTTTTAAAAAGAGCATGTACTCGTATCATTTCGAATGCAAAAGGGGCCACAGCTCTTCATTTAGCATCACTAACAGATTTAATCACAATGGTATGTTACTTACTTTATTTGAGCTACTAATGTGCAGAAAAGAATGCTAAAATTCTTTTATGTTTTGCACTTAAGGAAAAGTATTTTCATATTTTTCATGCAGATACAACATGTATTGGAAATGGAGCAATGTGAATGGTATTCGGAGTAAAGAAACAAAATGAAGGACTGCCACCATGGGCGCCTAAGCGCCAATCCCTCACTTAGCACTAAGGAGCCGCGACATTGGCGCTTAGGCGCCGCTCCCTTGGGCGCCAAGAAGCTAAGGCCATTCTGTGCAAATCGAGAGTCTGACACCTAGGCGCCAACAACTGTCGAAAGCAGTTTTCAGTTCAGAAGCCTGTCGTGGGGAGTTATTGGAAGGTCGTGAAGTGGTTTATGGGGCTTAAAATGGAGTCTATATTATGTCTATGTAAAGGGTGGTTTATGGTTGTTGAAGTGTGGTTGAAGGATTGATGCTAGTAGGTCTAGGATTGGTGAATTTAGGGAGATTGATGTTAGTTTATAACCTGTTGTAGAATCTCCTCCTCCTTCTAGGGCTGAGGATAGGGAGAACCTTCGAAAGCAGCAGTAAGGGAAGTACTTGGTGGAGCATCTTTAGTTGTAAAGGAGAGAAAGATAGTGTTTGTGTATTTTATTGTTTGTATTTCTTTAAAAACATCCTTTAGTAAAATTCTCTTGTTTTCAAATGAAACTTTGTGGTATGTTCTTCATGCTTTCTGAGTAGAACTTTTTACCTTATCTTGTGATGATCAAAGTAGGATGTGTAGGAATATTATGTATTGTGAAATTGCCTTTAATTACTTAATGTGATGTTTAACTTTCAAATCTTCATCTTCATTTACTTTTTATTTTGATCAAGTGAAATATTAAAATGTGTTGTGAACCATAATCACTCAGGAGAGCTATGGTGGAACCAACTAGATTAGTCACGTTGAACTGTGGAGTATAGGTGTGTACGCTTCGTAGAGAGATGCAAATGTTAGAGAAATATTCATTGATGAATTCAAAAAAGAAATTTAATGAAGTAAAGTCGTTTTAACCAATCATATTTATGCACTCGAGAGAGGGTAAAGAAGAGAGTTGCTCCTATTTATTACTAGCCAAATTTAGAATTTGTACTTTTCATTTCCTGCACTCCAATTATATCATTACAAGGTAGCTTTAGGCCTGATATTCATCAATTCAACACCTAGTTAAGTAGGATTTCAGTAGGATTTAAACTTTACAATTGCTTTAGATACTATAGGATTAGTTTGTAGGACTTGTAATTAAATCTAAATTCCAGGCTAGGAACGAAACTAGTAGGCTAAAGATTTTCCTAAGTCTAATACCCTCATTCCATGTGGGATTGACAATCCAAACTCAAAAATCTAATATTACTGTTACGACACGTGCACTTGCGTGAGCCCCAGAGTGTAGCTGCACCTGAAAGTAGGTATCAATTGGTGTCATTGTCAGGGAGCGACCGTGTATTTAACTTATGAAAATTTTAATTGAACCTCTAAGTCTTAGACTTGGACAGCTAGTGTCAATTGCTTGTGTTTGATTTTTTTCCTGTTTTGAAAAACAAAGAAAAATCAAATATATTTTGTGTGAATTTTACTTATTAGATTCTCTAGTTCGTGTATGTGTAATACAGGGCTTACAGGAGTTGCACCATACAGTTTCGAGTTAGAGAAAACTATTAAGAAAATTAGAAAACAAAAAAGACTTGAATAACACATAGGAGAGAAGACGAACAACCTACATAATAACCCAGAAATTCAAGCATCAGCCCATGAACCATTTTATGATACACATAGACCATTAAGAGACTATGTTAACCCTACGGCAGGTAAAATTTGCTTAAGCATTCAGACCTCTACTGCAGAAGTAACACATTCAAACTGAAACCTACTATCATCCAAATGTTGTAGAATAATCAATTTTGGGGAACACCATCTGAAGATCATAAATTACACTTAGCGAGTTTCTTAATACTCTGCGCTACATTTTGTTATAACGGTGTATCAAATGACACTGTTAGACTTAGATTTTTCCCTTTCTTCTTGAGGGACAAAGCAAAAATGTGATTAAATTCATTCGCACCTAGATCAATTAGGACGTTGAGTGACTTAGCCCTGAAATTTCTAGTTAAACATTTCCTGCCTTCAATAGTGGCTAAATTGAGGATGAAATCATTTCATGTTGTCAATATGAATGTGAGTCAATTTATGAAGCTTGTAAACGATCCAAAAACTTCTTAGAAAGTGCCCCCATCATGCACTGTCTGATTGGTTGATAATTCAGACTTTTTACAATGATTTAATAGGATCTCTTATGTTTATTATAGATGTCATAGCTGGTGGGTAACTTATGTCAAAATCATTTAATGAGGTCCACTCTTTGGTTGACGAGAAAGCTACCAACAACTTTCAATGATCTTCTGAGATAGTGAACCCCAGAAAAGTAGCAAGTGCATATGACACGGGCGTGCTTTTAATTTTAACTTCTCAGATAGTTGCAATTTCTAGAAAGCTAGAACAGTTTGGGATGATCCAACCTCAAGGATCCCAAGTCATTGAAAAAAATTCATTCGGACAACTGGTTGATGCTAACATTTCATCATTTGAGACTCTAAATGCAAATAGCAATAAAACAAACAGCTCGTATTCTAACTACTACAATCCCAGTTGAAAGAATCATC